CAAATCCACTATGATCGAAAATGCTATAATATTTGAGGAAAATATTGAAGAATTCAAAAAAAATGTGAAAAAATCGCAGCCCGATCATTACCGTCTCTGCAGTTGTTATTGCGACACAGTGCTAGACATTGCTTGTATACCTGCGACCTGTCACCTAACGAACCAACCGTATTTCCAACGAAACAAACTTGTAGAATCAACAAAAGAACCCATATTATTTTTGGCATGTCGCCCAATGTTGACCCATGGCGGAATTACGACATTTACGACGGTGTTGTACTGTACGTAGTACAACCGTATAACCTATAAGCTGTATTCACGAAGATTTGCAGTAGCAAAATAATGACGGAGTATCTCACAATCAACCCTGAAGGCTGAATGCAGCTGAGGCAACAGCTGACATGTAAACTAGGCCAGAGAAGCTACGCTATGCCTGATGCCATGACCAGAAAGAAACCTGAGAGAGGACGGCCCAAAATCTGTAACCGCAAAATGTTGCCACGCACTACTGCCCTCTAACAAAGTGGATGTAAACTACGTAGCAACGTCCACTTTACTTACGGTACATCGTCCACTATTCAAGGCTGGAGATGATAAATCGATATTTGGTTCACATAATTATGCTATATGTAACACGATTATATGAATCAAATATACTTGATGTGTAAGGACTTGAAATATTTAATTATGTAAAGTCGACACTATTGCTTACTATTCTATATACATATCTCTGTAAGGTAATGTAAATAAGATTTTTACGATTATCAGGGCGCTTGTCTTTATTTTTTGAAAATGCATACAGAAGAGATAAAAATTTGACAAAGTGAAAGTGCAAAATAATTTAATCTTAAAGTAAATATAAAGCAATTAGACTTCAATAGATATCGAAAATATTTATTCTTTCATACACTCCTCCGTAACTTGACTCGGTTGCCCGATATCATTCTCATTTTTCTTCTTTTTACTTCCGGAAACAATGTCGTCTATTCTCAATAACAGGATAGCAGTCTCGATCGCCGTTTTATACGTTTGTAATTTTACAGACAATGGTTCCCATATACCGCGTTCCTTCATGTCGACCAATTTTCCCGTTTCTCCATCAATGCCCCAAGTAGTACCTTCTGTTGCGTGTTTAGCGCGCAACGCCGTTAGAGTCCTGATAGTATTTGCGCCACAATTCTGCGCTAGCGTTCTAGGAATGATCTCCAAGGCCTGTGCGATCGCCTTGTATGGCCATTGTTCTACACCTGCAAGTCCTGCCGCCTTTTCTGTTAAAAGCCGGGATACTGCCATTTCCACTGCTCCACCACCTACGAGGGGAAAAAAAAGGAAAAGGAACCAAACATAAAAGATATAATAAATCATTTCGACCAAAAAAAAAGTATTGTATAATATAGATATATACATATATGTATATAGAATAGTAAGTGTCCAACTTTACATAATTAAATATTCAAGTCCTTATATATCAAGCATATTATACAATAACTAATCTTACGCACCTGGTACGAGTTTTGGATCGACAAGGAGATTTCTGGCGACATGCAACGCATCTTGCAAATTTCTCTCAGTCTCATTCAAGATATCTTTACTAGCACCTCTCAGAATGATTGTACAAGCTTTAGGATCCTTGCATTCTGTGATAAAACAGAAATAATCGTCACAGAGTTTCTTGATTTCAAAAAGACCAGCACCCGTCCCAACATCCTCTTCCTTGAGTTCTTCGGTGCGATTGACAACGGTAGCACCACAAGCGCGAGCAATCCTGTTAATGTCACTCTTTCGTAGCCTGCGTATCGCGGATATGCCGGCTTTCACGAGGTAATGCTGAGCAAGATCCGATATGCCTTTCTCTGTGATCACGACATCCGGTTTTACCGAAATAACATCCTCGCATATCTTCTTCACATACTCCTCCTCTAGTTCCAAAATCTTTGTGAAATCAACATCCTTCATTATCTCTATATTCGTCTGAGATTCGCCCTTCTTATATTCCAATGGACAATCCAGCAGTACTATTCTCGGATCTTTGATGTAACGTCTCATTTTTGGATGTGTCACATCCTTATTGATCATCACACCCTTGAGAACAGTACTGTCCTCCATCGTACCACCAGGTATCTTCTCTACCTTGGCATAGCGTTTAATGTCGATCTCTCTTCTGCCGTTCTCCTCGAGCATCACGGTGTGAACAGCGTCCAAAGCGATTTGACAGGCTAATTCAGACCAACGTCTGATAAATTTAGTACCTGTACAGGAGTTTATCACTTGGACCAACTTACTTTTGTCGCTGCAATCTAAATCGATACTGACTTGTTCATTGAGAATCGTGACCATATCTTCCAAAGCCTGACGATACGCTCTTATGATGACAGTAGGATGCATGTTCTGTTCCAAGAATGGTTCGGCGGTAGCCAAGATCTCGCCTGATAGGACAATCACCGAAGTGGTACCATCCCCTACCTCTTCATCCTGAGTCCTGGCAATTTCTATCATGGACTTTCCAGCAGGATGCTGCACAGTGATCTCGCGCAAAATCGCGTTACCATCATTTGTCATTACGATGCCACCCATTGGATCCATCAGCATCTTCAACATGGCTTGAGGACCCAAACATGTTCTAATGACGTCGGCAATTGCCTATATATATACAAAAAAACAAGAAAAATTTGTTACATTGATCCAATATATTTGAAAGTCACGTCAATTAGATTATAATTGAATTTACATGTAGATTGCTCATAGAGAAAATAATTTTTTTTTATCGAATTAACTTGCATGGTTTACGAGTTATCATATTTAAGTTGATACGTGATATAAAAATCAATGCGAATAGACAAAACTCGAACTGATTTAAAATCTTTGTGACTTCAGAAAGTCATGTGGGTGCGAAAATTGCGAGGAATGCCTTATAAGGAATGCAATACACACAGATTATTAGACAAATACGCTCTCACCTTGCCCGCCTGGATATTTTCTCTCTGTACTTTTCTACCGGTGTCACGCTTTGTGTTCTGGCCTGCAATAATTAAAATGTTCGACATGATTAGATTGGTTAGAAAAGTGACAGAATAACGTGAGTTGCTAAACTACTCCTAAACAAACGACGGATGAAAGATCGACTTGAACTTACTGAGAACTACAATTGGTGCCGAACCTGGTCCAAACATTGTATTTTTGCTTGTTTTTTGTCTTTGTCACTACACTAATCGATATGTAATATAAACTTTTCCTTAAAAGGGCTGAAAAGGACAAGGAACGCCGACTTCTTTCTCTTCTTCCTCATCGAAGGCGAGGAACGCTGATGGTTAATTACTATCACTAGAGAGAAACCTGAGAGAGGACATGACAACCCAAAACCTGTAGCCGCAAAATGCTGCCGCGCACTACTGCCCTCTAATAAAGTGGATGTAAACTACATAGCAACATCCACTTTTCTTACATCGGCCGGTACATCGGCCGCTTTTCAAGGCTAAAGATAATAAATCGATATTTGATTCATATAATTGTACTACATGTAACATGATATTATATGAATCAAATATCGATTCATCATCTCCAGCCTTGAAAAGTGGACAATGTACCGTAAGAAAAGTGGACGTTGCTATGTAGCTTACATCCACTTTGTCAGAAGGCAATAGTACGCAACAACATTTTGCGGTTACTGGTTTTGGACCATCATGTCCTCTCTCAGATTTCTCTCTGCCATCTGACCCATGATCAATGATGACTGGCTGGCAGGCTGGGCAGTGCCGAGAGTGCCGAGAGTGCCGACTTGCCAAATGACAGTTGATGACAGGACTTGAGGAGGAATGATATCTTAAGAAGAGCGTGAAGCGTGAAGCAAGACGGAGAAGAAAAAAATATACGCCATTCACGGCTATTTAGATAAGAGATAAATATGCGCTTTCGAATGTCGGCGAGGAGCAATGAACAGACGCGATAGACCACGATAGATTACGATAAACCACGATAACGCACGTAAGAATACAGAGGGATACTCATCAGGTGGAAAAACGAAAGCAGACACCTGTTGCTGCCGGCCTCGAATTGGACGATTACGATGGCCCATCTACTCAAAAACCTTACCAACAGTATCTGGCATGCATTTCACGCTCTACAAGCCGATGCTACCAACACGGTTGCCAAATCCAAGTTAAAGGTGAAACTTTGAATAATAAAATGTCATAAAATCCATTTGGGTAGCTAAATAAGATATACGTGCAATCGACTACTATCTCTTTTTTGTTTTCTTTTCTCTTTAACACTTGTTCATTTCGATGTTTGATTTGGATAGGTATTGACAGCCAACATTGGTACCTTGATGGATTTGTATGGCGTAGAAAAAGGCCTGGAGCATTACCGGAGTACGCAAAGTTTAACATTTGATCAATACATCTATTATTTACAGAAAGAAGTAAGATCTTTTTTAAAAATGCGTGTATTATAAACTTTATATATATATAAAACAAAATGAGACAAATGTTAATTCTCTTAATTATTTAAAGAAATGGTAGAATTTTATATAAAGATGTATACATGTGTAAACGTGTATTTTGAAACGTTTTTTGGCTCATACTTTGATTATTAATAAGTTGTAGCAAATACTTGACCAAGGCAAACTTGTAGGACATGTGAAAATAAAGCAAAATATTTAGATACGCAAAAGCTAAAATTTTTAAGAGATATGTAAGAGAAATTTTGCTTTATCTTCTTATTTTCAAAATGCAGATATCTTTGAACCAAAGTTCCCTAAGATATTTATTTCAAGTATCTTTTTTTGCTATCCTCACTCATTCAAGAGCATTTGCTTCGCTTTTGCTCATCCAGCTTGATGCAGTCTGTGCAATCTCAAAAATTTCAGGTGTTCTCTTCTGTAACTGATGCTACCTCTGTACAAACATTGAAGACAATGGAAGAAGGGGTAGATGAAATTTGCTGGCTGGTTTGTAAAAAGATCTATCTGGAGAGATCCCATTCAGTTTTTGACGATCATAGCGTTTACCAATTGTTCAGAATTTACTGTCTGCTGGCCGAGACGGATTCAGATGCAACAGATTCTTATCTGGTTAGCGGTTATTAAGTTGCTTATAATAAATTATATAAATCAAGTTTAATTTTCAATAATCAATGTGTCACTTTTGATGATGCAGGTGATAATGCATGGCGACGAGGTAGCGCGAATTGCTTCCCATCTGGTAATGTCATTGGGTCTACAATGGGACGCGGCAGATTTTTCAGCTTTATCAGCGGCTATTGGGACATTTAGGTAACTTGTCATTTCCACCTTTATCATACTAATCGCAAAGATAAAGATATAAAAAAATTTGTTGATGAAAAATTTATCGGGA